TCTATGTTGATGAAGTTTTTATGTTCAATTTAGTTTCTTCAATTAGTTTTCTTTTTTTCTGTGGCTTTAAAATGTTTCTGTCTTTCTTAAAAACATCAGAGAAAGTCACCTGTCTAATGGGCTGCAACAGATGTTTAAGTCCAATTAAAGGTCTAAAAACAACACACAGAGAAGCACAGACAAACCAAACCTTCTCGTTTCACCTGGGAACACTCTATATCCAGCCGTTGCCCAAAACCATAACCTACAAGAACTTTGACCTGGCCTTCACCAAGCTTCAGCCAATAGTGAGCTGGTATGCCATACATAAAGACAAATGGCCCTATCAGTGTAAAGTGCCTAATAACTGACAGGTGTGTGGGGTTTGGGGGGGGGGCGGGGTGGGGGGGTGGGTTGTGTGGTCAGACACATGTGGTGGCCCTTGATAAGCCACTCTGAAATGAAAGGGCTCATTTGTGGGTGCTCTGTGGATCGGGAACCTCACCTCCAGCTGAGAGAGGAAACAGGTTGGTTTGCTCAGGCAAAGCTAAAGAAGTAGACTCTACCACACAACCATTATCCGAACTTGACCATGACTGACAAGTGTATTCAAGCGTACAACAACCAGCATCCAGGATGCTTTTACATTATGGATTATGGTTGCCTTGCCATAATTTGAAGTAAATTATCAAATTATCATCTCAATCAAATAGCTTATATTGAAATTGCTGACGCTTGAATGCAATATTTAGTGTAATATTTACATTTAAACTCATTGCTTTATTTATCTTTATATTTGTGAACAGTATACACTAACATTCAAAAGTTTGGAGGTACTAAATCAAAAAATAATAATTTTATATTTGACAGTAAAGACATGTATAATATTACAAAAGATTTCCAAAAAATGCTGCTCTTTTAAACTTAAAAAAATATCACAATTTTCACAAAATAAATATTATGCAGCAGCATTGATTATAATAATAAATGTTTCTTGAGTAGTAAATCATCATATTATAATGATTTCTGAAGGATCATGTGACACTGAATAATGATACTGAAAATAATTAACTACATTTTATAATAAAATAGAAAATTGTAATAGTATAGAATTGTAATAAATAAATGGCAGCCTTGATGACCATAAGAGACTTTTTTCAGAAAAAAAAATTAAAAATCCTACCAACCCCAAATATTTTACTGTGTAAAATGATAAATAATTATTCATATGAATTATTTTGCTGAATTTCAGTTGATTATTATAAAATAAGTCATAAATTAAATAATTATTAATAATTATGTTGTTGTTTATTAAATAGAAGAGACAATTATTAGCCTATATACATTTTGGAAAATGGAAAATGTAACCTTAATACGATGCAGTATTTGGACGCATTCACTGCAGTCTCCAGAGATTATGAATGTATTTGTCCCCATTGGCTCTCCTTGAGATTTTAACTAATAATTGTTTCAGTATGTCTGTCGGTCCAAAGTCTCAGGAGTGAGAAAGGGAGGTGCATAAGATCCATTCGGCTTCATTACCAGAAAAATATTCCAAATAGGGCAACAGACCTTTCCTTCTTGAAACTGATGCGATCAGTTTTCTGATCATCTGACAGCCTGAACGCTATAGTTTGTTTTAGGTTGTCGCTTCCAGACACTGTTTTCCTTTAGCTTGAATTAATCAAGTTCAGTAAGAACGGAGAGGGAGAAAAAGAAAGTGAACGGTATTATCTGATTTACATATAATTAATGCAAACCACTCACAAACAAATGTTAATTTATAATTAAATGTTTCCATTTTGGGATGTTTCTCATGCTTGTAAAAAGATGGCAATTCCAAAGTCCCTGTTGGTCACCATGAGGCAAAAAGTATATAAGTCAATATAGGTTTAGTTGTTGTTGTTGTTTAAATGTAGAATATTTTCCGGTTGTGATTAGAGGTAGTGTGTGTGTGTGTGTGTGTGGTTATTTATTGTGGTACAATATTATAGTAATTGTTAGTTATTAGGTTATTTTGTAATATGATTGCTATAATCAGCTGTTTATGATGTGAAGTCGGGCACTGAATGCTTTTGATGTTGACCTATATTTAGGCTACATTTCATTTATTTAATTGTTTAACTTATTGTTTCTTACTATAAAGCCAGAACGTCACATCTGCACTGTAACTATTATGAAGACCAGGAATAAACCATCCAGCTGTTCTCTAATGGATTTGTAATCGCTGAAAGAGAGCTTTCCAGCTGTTCTTCAATAGATTTATAATGACTGCTTGGAACAACTTTTGTATAAGTCTGTTGAGGCTGTAGAACTGAGGTTTTCTCAACACTAGGCTATATTAGCATATTTCTCGAAACTAAAAATTCATACAGCATACAGCAAATGTTTCAAATGCAGTTTGTGTTGGTTTGCTCATTGTTATTATTTTAAATGTTTCATTCAACATTTGTAAATCGCTTTGGAAAAATCGATTTGAAAAGCTAAAGGATTAAAGTTGCCTATAAATGTAGCTATATGGCATATCAGTTAACGTACAACAAAAGGATAACATATAGGCCTAAAAACTGATAAATAGCTTCTATATTTTAAAATGTGCACTACTTTTATTGAAGATTTGTCGGACATAGACATAGAATTTTTTTTAAAGAGAGTTATTAAAATATTAGCGAGAACATAATTTACGTAAGCCTATTGAGATTCAGAAGATGTGAAAATTGTAAAATTTGCTTTATATTTATTTTATCACTTAATTTGCCATATTTGCCATTGTTATATACAGGCCAATAGGCAAGGCAAGTTTATTTATATAGCTCATTTTATAGCCTATACTATGGGCTAATTAATTATCATGTTGAGGAATTAACATGATCACAAAATAAAAGCAAGAGAAATTAAAACAGTCATTAAATGAATTAATATATGAAGAGTTCAGATGCAAAAGCCTCTAAATGCCATTTGAAATTTTCTTCTTTAATGATGATTTTTATCAAACTTGTATATTTACGTTCAGTAATTTCACTTAAATGGCAATGATAATTACCTATTAATTGTTATTTAAGTGAAATTACTGAACTTAAATATACAAGTTTGATAAAAAATCATCATTAAAGAAGAAAATTTCAAATGGCATTTAGAGGCTTTTGCATCTGAACTCTTCATATATATATATATATATATATAAAGATAATAGAGTTAAGGAATGAAAAGAGTAAAAAGATAGATAAACATCTCGACTCTTCTGGCTTGGATCCGAATCTCCATATGTAACGTAGGATCTTAAAGTTTAATTAAAAATAGTAAATAAATAAATAACTCTATTTCCAACAAATAGATACAAACACAACAATTTTTTTAATCATCTCTTCACCTCACAGATATATTCTTGCTGTATAGTTATTGGGTTGTGCTGCCCTCTACTGGTGGCATTCGTTGCCTTCATTTAACCAAAAAGTCACGAAGTCAGATTTAGACATTTAAAAAAAATAAATAAATAAGTAAATAAATTCTAACCACAGTAATACAATTGATATTAAAATCTGAACATGCAAAATGTTTCACAGGCAGAGAGCCTCTCAGTCTCTTTTTGGCTAAAGATCCCATAAAGTCTTCAAAATGGATTTTCCAAAACTGGAATAGTACTCCAACTTTGCATAATAGGCTACACTGTGAGAGAATATTTAGTCAATATTGTAACTGTAATTTATCAAATGAGGAAAAAAATAGGCCTACATATATGCGTTCACATACTAAAGTATCAACAGCAACCAAAGCAAAGCAATATCCAAATTCAGAAAGAGTTCAAAGCGTTCAGACATTAGGGTGTACTACTGTGTCAGAACGGACTAAGATACAGGGAGTGTTTAGTCTCATCATCAGATGGGGCTCTGCCACAGGCTGTTCATTTAATGGTGAGATACAAAAGTCTGGCTCTACAAGACTATAGGGAGTGTTTGACTATTATAGGCCTGCCTAGATTAGCATTAATTAGATAATTGGTAATAAGAGGACACAAATTCAAAGGTTGCAAATGAAGTGATTATCTCGGTTGGAGAGAGTTGCACAAGTGGGTGTTAGTATGTCTTTTGATATGATGTTTATTTGATCCTGTGAGTAAAAGATGTGTTTGTCTATTGTTAGTTTTTAATTTCGTATGAACTTTTAGATTTTTTTAATGCAGAAAGAAGCATATGTGTGTGATCAATGTAGTCATCATTGAAGACCCACCTGTTTAATAAATGATTTTCCTTGTATAATTCTATGCATTTAATCAGATTAATTGTCCATTGTTTATAATATACATATGAGATTCATGCAAAAGAGTTCATATCAATAAAAGTCTATAATATGTTAACAGTAAAATAATGGAAAGTATTCGTTGATTAATTCTACATTAGAAAAAGTTGTATTATACTGTATAGCCTACGGGTGTTTCAAGATGGGGTTCAGGAAGCAGGACGGGAATGGAATCTGACTGGGATACTGGGAACAGAAGGAGAGAGAAAGGGATTATAAGCACCAGAATGGCACTTTTTAAATTTCTTAAAGCCACAGGTTGATGGGTAGAATAGCATGATGTTAAACACACCTGTACAGTAGGTGGCGGTATGCATTTAAAAGTTGGTTGCAATCCGCCATTTTTCCAGAGAAGAAGATGTAGATGGTGATGTCAGAGAATGTCTAAATGTTTGGAATGTAGATCCAAGGACGATGTAGAACATGTATTAATGCATTGTAAGAAATATAGAGATGAGAGGATAAGGCTAAAACAAAAGATAAGTAAGGCAGGAAGAAAGTGGAACCTTAAAGGTTTATTAGGCACAACAGGAGATGGGGTAAAGGATACACAGAAAGCAGTTATACAATTTTTGAAAAACATAGGAATATATAAGAGGATATAGTTGTTGTTTTTTTAATACAAAGTAGTCCCAACGAATAGCCCGTGTTACATACTCTGATACAGTAGGTGGCGGTATGCACCTTTAAAGTCATGGTTGCAATCTGCCATAAAACGAAAAAGAAGAAGAAGAAGAAAATGATAAAGAAATGCTGAGAAGATTTTTATTTTTTTGTTTTGTTTTTAAAAAGTACAGGGCTTTCAAAAATAATTTAATATTGTAGAAAATATATCTCCTGCTATACACTCCAGTCCAGCGGTGGCGGTAATACAATTGATTGTTGTCAACCGTCATTTAAACTGAAGAAGAAGAAGATGTCTGTTTTGGTTTTTGTTGAATAGGCAGTTCACAGTCTATTCGTTAATAAAACGTCTTTTTGAAATATATTATACAATAGGCTACTGTATTAACGATACGATAAAACAATATATTTAACAAAAGCCATTGTTAAAGTATACAAACGGTAACGTTAGATTGAATGTTGATCCCTTAAACACGATGGTGTTCGTATGTTGTGCATATAACTGTAGAAACACGGCTGTGAGTAACTCGACCGTCTCATTCCACCAGTAAGCGCAAAGCTTTCTCTTTAAATGATGTTAAAACATTATTGATGGTGTGGAATTACTGCTATGTCAATGATCTCGTATTTGTTTTTGTTTCAGATTCCCACTGAAGGACCGCAACTTGCTAAAAAAGTGGCTTCACAAATTAAGATGGAAAGACTGGAAACCTGCTCCAAATAGTAAAATTTGCTCTGTCCATTTTGAAAAGAAGTGTCTTATTCAAGATGGAAAGAGAACAAGACTTCAACCATGGGCTGTGCCGACTATATTTTCATTCCCAAGCCGTTTTGCGGAAAGAAAGGTGCGTGAAACTATTTTAAGCATAACAGGGTAACGTTACAGTGTCTTGTTTCATTTTACTGGTCACACACTTTTAGGTTTTTCACCTGTTTATTTTTGGTTTATTTCACTTTTAGGTTTATTTCACCTGTTTACACCTGTAATATTTTTGTATTTCTTTCTGGATTCTACCCTACAGGTTAAAATCAACCCTAGAAGCAGAAGAGCTTTGGTGAGTTACACACACTGATCTATATAGAATGACATTATATTATATAGATAAGTGGTTACACTGCGTTCTTTATTTGCATTATGAAATATGTCTTTGAAATACAAATGAAAGGGTGTGTTTACACGCAAATGCATTTACAGAGAAATGACAATTTTAGGAACAATTTTATGAAATTAATATTTTAATGTGAAATTATACATCAAAAAATGTGACCCCATAAGTGATAAAATATACAACACAGTTTAAGGTTTCACTGATGCTGCATCAGCATCAATATGATACCAGGTACTGAAGAGGATCAGAGCAGCATATTTTAGAATGGCTTGGCTTTTATTCAGCATTGCATCTGTACACCACATTTTGAGGCAGCTTAGAGCTACCTTAACTCACCTGCATATAGATTTGTGAAACTGAGCTTTTTGAAACTCGGAATCAAATTAAATTTAGCTAAATGTTTTACTGTTTTGTACCGCACAAAATTTCACACACTGGCGCCACCTGCTGGTTAAAAGCTAGCAACTGCAACAAACAAGCCCAAACACGCAGAAAGACATATTTTCCAATTTAGCAGTTTTACAGTTTTCTTGAGGATCTAAAAATCCTCAAATACTCTTATGAAATGTTTGTATAATTGTTCAAAAATGTATTTGTAGGGCTTGATTTGTGGAGGGTGTTACTAATCATTCCTACGTAAGACTACTAGACTTCCTTTTTTATTATACAAATGTGCCATTAAAATGCTTGCATTTTAAAGCCATTGACACTGGTTCACTGATATTGAAGTCGTGCAGATGCCTTGTATCTGCCTTGTTCATTAATTGTGATTGGTGACCAAATTTTCCTCTTCCCTGTCATTTGTAATTTTAGGGAAATGTAAGTGACTCAAACTCCTCTCTTCAAGCAGCACCTGATTTGAAAGCAGAAACCTCACAGACATCTTACTCAGGAAAGCCTGAGCACAGAACCACAGAGAAGAGTTTACACCCGAACAAAACAGAAAATCGTTCGAGCGTTTCCCCACAGCAGCCGACTGAAACAGAAAAAAGGTCTGCAGCTGCTCATCATGCACGCAACATGTGTTGTGTTTATGTTATTTTGTTTTAATTGTTATTCTTTTCATTTGTTTGTTCAGCCCACCATGGACCATCCTGGGTGATATAGACCTGGACAGAACCATGACTATACCGAGTTTCTTTCACAGTGGATACTGTTTTCCCAATGTAATGTGCATTTTTACCTTCGTTTTTCATATAGAATGTGTGTAAAGACATTGTAATATTATTTAAGTACAAAAATTTAGTTCTACCCATTAACAGTTGTCTGTCGTTTTTTCTTCAGAACATTCGCTGGACTGGAGACAATGAATTAAATATTGTAAGTAATCATGTGGTGTTGTTGATAACATTTCAAGAAAATCTTAATTATACATTTCCTGTTATTTCTTAATCAGATGCCTCATGTGGCTTATGGTGTTCTTGGACAAACAAAACCCCATATAATTGAGGTATGGCTGTTTACATCAGAACTGCAATGCAGCTTTTTTTGTTATGTGTGTCAGTTATTGGCTAAGGTTTCATCAGAAAGATTTATTTTTGGGTAAGTCTCTGGAGAATTGCATTTTTACAAAAAGATGATGATAGAAAAAAAAGTTAACCTTTCACATCCTGTCTTGCATAATGCTGTGCTGTACATAGCGAGAATGACAACTACCCTTTTAGATTGAGTGCAATTTTTTTTGTAAAAATTGAGCATAGCTTTTGACACATTGGTGTCCTATTTTCATAATTTTAGTGTTTTTTTTATAATCATTCTGATTTTATGAAGCAGCCGTAACTATAATGATAATGACACTGAGGAATGATACCATTGGAAATTGGAAAAATGAAATACATGGATATCAAAATCCATTTAAAGCAGCAGACCACATAACTGCAGCATATCACCCCTTGGTATTCAGTGAGGAAAATAAGTATTTGAACACCCTGCTATTTTGCAAGTTTTCTCACTTAGAAATCATGGAGGGGTCTGAAGTTGTCATCGTAGGTGCATGTCCACTGTGAGAGACATAATCTAAATAAAAAATCCAGAAATCACAATGTATGATTTTTTTTTACCTATTTATTTGTATGATACAGCTGCAAATAAGTTTTTGAACACCTGAGAATCAATTTTAATATTTGGTACAGTAGCCTTTGTTTGCAATTACAGAGATCAAAATTTTCCTGTAGTTTTTCACCAGGTTTTCACACTGCAGGAGGGATTTTGGCCCACTCCTCGACACAGATCTTCTCTAGATCAGTCAGGTTTCTGGGCTGTCGCTGAGAAACATGGAGTTTGAGCTCCCTCCAAAGATTCTCTATTGTGTTTAGGACTGGAGACTGGCTAGGCCACGCCAGAACCTTGATGTGCTTCTTACAGAGCCACTCCTTGGTTATGCTGGCTGTGTGCTTCAGGTCATTTTCATGTTGGAAGACCCAGCCTCAACCCATCTTCAATGCTCTATCTGAGGGAAGGAGGTTGTTTCCCAAAATCTTGCAATACATGGCCCCGGTCATCCTCTCCATAATACAGTGCAGTCGCCCTGTCTCATGTGCAGAAAAACACCCCCCAAAGCATGATACTACCACCCTTATGCTTCACAGTAGGGATGGTGTTCTTGGGATGGTACTCATTATTCTTCTTCCTCCAAACACGCTTAGTGGAATTATGACCAAAAAGGTCTATTTTGGTCTCATCTGACCACATAACTTTCTCACATGTCTTCTCTGGATCATCCAAATTGTCATTGGCAAACTTAAGACGAGCCTTGACATGTGCTGGTTTAAGCAGGGGAACCTTCCGTGCCATGCATGATTTCAAACCATGACGTCTTAGTGTATTACCAACAGTAACCTTGGAAATGGTGGTCCCAGCTCTTTTCAGGTCATTGACCAGCTCCTCCTGTGTAGTTCTGGGCTGATTTCTCACATTTCTTAGGATCGTTGAGACCCCACGAGGTGAGATCTTGCACGGAGCCCCATCAGTCCGAGAGAGATTGACAGTCATGTTTAGCTTCTTCCGTTTTCTAATGACTGCTCCAACAGTGGACCTTTTTTCACCAAGCTGCTTGGCAATTTCCCCGTAGCCCTTTCCAGCCTTGTGGAGGTGTACAATTTTGTCTCTAGTGTCTTTGGACAGCCCTTTGGTCTTGGCCATGTTAGTAGTTGGATTCTTACTGATCGTATTGGGTGGACAGGTGTCTTTATGCAGCTAACGACCTCAAACAACTTTTTTTTAAATCTAATTTAGCATGATAAATGGAGTGGAGGTGGACATTTTAAAGGCAGACTAAACAGGTTTTTGAGGGTCAGAATTCTAGCTGATAGACAGGTGTTCAAATACTTATTTGCAGCTGTATCATACAAATAAATAGTAAAAAAAAACATATATTTTGATTCCTGGATTTTTTTTTTTTTTTAGATTATCTCTCAAAGTGGACATGCACCTACGATGGCAATTTCGGACCCCTCCTAAGTGGGAGAACTAGCGGAAAAAATAATAGCGGGCAAAATAGCGGGGTGTTCAAATACTTATTTTCCTCACTGTAGATGTCAATATAGTTACTGTTATAGATACCTTTTTTTTGTTTTTTGGGCCTTTATATATAATATAACAGAATACTAACTTTTTTTTAACTGTAGCAGAATAAGAACTATTTTAACCTTTCTCTCAGGTTAAAGAGAGGTGGGAATGGCTTGGGCTGGATGTTAGAGGTCCGTTCTCTCCAACAGTAGACAAGCACACGCACATCATGACCCTGACTGACTACCATTCCAAATGGGTGGAAGCTTTTCCTTTGACTCAGAAACTCAGCCAGGATGTGGCCCAGTGTCTTGCCGAAGTCTTCAGTCAGCAGGGATACCCTCTCGGAATTCTCTCCCGGCTTCCTAAGCGGATCCTCTTGGAAGTAAGAGATTCATAGACTTCCTTCCTGTTGATTTTTTTTTTAAAAAGAGAGGAGATTTATACTTTTTATTTAGCAAGAGCACATTCAATTGAAGTGACAGTACACTTTTACATTGTTACAAGAAAAATCGTTAAACACTTTTGTATAGGGTCTAATTCTCACTATTAACTAGTTGCTAATTACCATGCGTATTACTAGGATATTAGTTATTAGTACTTATAAAGCACATATTAATGCCTTATTCTGCATGATAATTGAGGCCGGTGTGACTGATGCGCTCCGCACAGGTCTTCAGAAGCATAAAACGCCGTTTCCCACCTCTCTGAACAACTAACCTCATTTCAATCATATTCTACATCCCTTAATCTCACCCATTATCTAAACTTAACAACTACCTTACTAACTATTAATAAGCAGTAATTAGGAGTTTGAGGCAAAAGTTGTAGTTAATATTTAGTTAATAGTGAGAATTGGACCCTAAACAAAAGTGTTTAACGATTTTTCTTGTAACAATGTAAAATGTACTGTCACAGTGTGACCGAAAAATCTATTTAAAATAAATGCCGTTCTTTCGAATTAAAAAAAAGTTAATATTTCACAATATTACTGTTTTTACTGTATCTTTAATTTTAAAAAATGCAGCTTTGTTGAACAGAATCTGATACTATTGATATGATACTTCTTTAGAAACATTAAAAAAAAAAATCTTAACCCAAAACTTTTGATTGTTAATGTGTATCTACAAATTCCTTTATCAGTCATTTGTTTTGGAAAAACAGTTCAGTTTCATACAATTGATTAATGGCCATCATTTTTCCATTTTCTGTCAGATTAACCGTGAGTTGAAGAAACGGCTGAGATTGAATGCAAATGCCTTGGTGATACACCACCGTCAAACTGGTTACATGGACTTGGTCACCGAATCACTTCTTAATGAGTACAACATCTTCAGACATTTAACTGCCAATATCTCTTTTGAATAATTTCAAATGTATCCAATATGTGATGTGACTTGATTTAACACTGATATTAGCTTTTTAACAGAAATGGCATGATCAATACTTTTTTTTATAATGGCGGAAAAAAGCTGTACTGTAAAAAATATATTGTTTCTACATGTCCAGCATTATTTATTGTGTATTTCAGGATGCTGGATGAGCTGGTAAAGAAACACAGCAGCATCTGGCACATCCACCTCCCTGCTGCCACTCTGCGCCTCTGCTGCACGAATCACCCCACCACCAAAGACAAACCCTTCACCCGCATGTATGCCAGTGACCCGCCCTTCTCCTCATCCCCCAGAGAACTGCCTGTAAGCCACCATGTCACTCGCAGTTTACATGCTGTCTTTTTCCTTATTTGTACTGTACTGTACTGTAAATTGACTGTCTTGGCAGTTTGGTTTACTTATTCTTCTGTTTGTTTTTGTTTGGTCTCTATAGTACAGTGCTACTGATATTCGCTTGAGTTCTTTTGTTATCCCAACCACTGAAGCCAACAATCTATGAGCTCTGTCAGACACTTCGGTAAGAGGCCTGTTTACAAATTAAATGGGATTCTGTTGTTTGATTGGGTATCATTTGTGACCATTTTTTTTAAACCCCATTTTTCAGGTCCACTGCCTGCGGGATCAGATTTATTCCAAGTAAAGAAACTAAAGGTTTTGTCAGGTTTACATGACCTTATGTTTTTCCATGTACATAGACTGTAAGTAAAGCAAGTTTGCACTGTTGCCTTGTACAAATATGATAAAGAAATACAATTATTTTTAAAACGGTAAAAGAAGCAATATTTTCTTGTCCTTGTTTTTCCCCTTTAATTTTATAGTTAGTTACAGTTCTTATATTTGATTGGCGTACACTGTTTGTATCTCTTTGCTTGTCTGTGTTTTTGTGTCACAGACAGACTGTAAGTTTTAGTGGTGGGAATTTTACAGAACAACAGATGAGTTTTAGAATAACCATATTATATGGTTTATTTACTATTATGCTAATTAGACATATAAAGCCTTAAAAAGATAGTTAACTAAAAATGTTAGAAGAATGTTTGAAGAATGCAAGTTTCCAAACAGTTTTGGTGCCCATTGATTTCCATTGTATTGACAAAAAACACTGTAAGATCAAAGTATTTTTATTCATGTTCCAAAAAAGAAAAAGGTTTTGAGCAACATGGGGAGGGGAGGGGAGGGGGGGGGGGGGGGGGTAAACATTATTTACAATTCTGTAAATAATGACAGAATTGTCATTTTTGAATGAACTATCCCTTTAAATAGTACTGAGACTGGTTACGATACCAGCACAGCAGTGACGACCCAGTGCTTCAGGTGGCGCTATTGAGCAGTTAGTCCTAGTCAAAAATTTGAAAACGAATGCCCTCTAAAGTCAAAATTTGAATGCGATGAGCTCGTAATCACCACTTCAGAAGTGGAAAGTAGGCAACCCGATAGCAAGATAGCAACCTGTTAGTTGTGATGAACCGTGCAAGTATCTCAACTCATAACCTCTTGCAAAAATGTACCTACTCTTTGTAAATGCTTGCAGCTGGCTTCTTAATACAAATTTAAAAGTTAAACATACGTTGAAAATCGGTGTTGATTTAAAATGAGAAAATTAATCATAATGATTGGTCGGTGAGTTAACCAAACGCTATATTTGCCCTTTTCCAATCCCATAATTATGAATTGACAGGATGACAAATGGAGGAAAGACCACTGTGTAAAAGACTTCAGGAGCTTCTGTTAAATAGCTGTTTCTCAAGACAACTTTTTCAAGAGACTAAACCTGCTTTATATTTTAATGAATGTTTATCTTTATCTAAGTAGGCTACTGTAGGTACAAGCATGTAGCTGACAAATCCTAATTATTGTGTCTATTTCTTTCAGCAATATGACAGTAAGAACAGTTCTGTTATTTACTTGTCAGATTAGCTTTTGACCACAGCACACACCATACACACTCACACCCTGGTGAAAAAGAAATATGTTTAGTATACTTGCAGCCATACTAATTTAGAATACTTCAATTAGTTAACTTGAAGTGTGCTATTTTGAAACAAACTAATTTTGTACTAGGTATATTTTAGTGCTAATTCAATTGTAGTAAAACCTAACTTTTATTGTATTTAGTCTACTTTTGTGAACTAATCAGACAACTTCAATTTTAGTTCACAAACATGTACCCTGTTTTCTTCATTTCCCTGTGTGTGTAATAAGCAGATTGCACATTTGTTGGTACATTACTAACGCTCTTTAAATAACACTAAAAATATTGCGCCATTAGACCAGGTGTTTGTTGGTCAATGGCATGCAGTCTATTTTAGTTGTATAAAAATAGCAATGTGCCTGAACACCTCGTTTTCAGACCAGCATGCCCATGGGTACACGAATAGGCGCAAATGCATTTTCTATTTAAACAACAGGACTTAAAAAAAACGGGCTGAAATTAGCAAGACGCATTGCATTGTGCTTGGTGCTGCATTGCGCTGGGTGTATGATAGGGCCCTAAGTTTCCATTACAAACTATTGTCATGATATTTCACCTAACAATTACAATTCGGTCATCAATAACTCATGTTACTTTCATCTTCGTTGAAAAAGTTTTACACTTCTCATCTTCGAAACACAAATGATGATATTTCTAATGAAACCTGAGAGATTTTTGTCCCTCCGTTATAAGTCTATAAAACCAATTCTTTGACACTTTTTCATAAATACAGTAACACAATCTATGAATCGAGGAGTCTGTCTTCTATGAAGAGAAACGATCACTTTATATGATGAAAAGATTTATTTTAGGCTTGTGTTCACACAAAAACCCAGATCAGCCTCAGGCATAAAGCACATCAAATATGACAATTAGATGCTCAACCATATGTGCTTGACACATGTTTTAAATAAAAAATATGTGCATTTAATTAGACTTTATACAGTCATTATTTGATAGAATTGCATACAATTACACTGATGATCAGTCACAAGTCAAGTCATATTTATTTATATAATGCTTTTTACAATACAGATTGTTTCAAAGCAGCTGTACAGAGATAACAGGAAAATAAAGCAACAAAGTTTGTTTCCAGAAGAAAATAGCGCCACAGTCCCGCTTAAGTAAGCCTCTAGAGCCTCTAGAGAAAACCTTGATATTATCATCCAGCTCAGTTCAGTTCTCACAATGGTTACAATGCAGGTAGATCAATAATATTGTTGAATATTAAATTAAATGTCCCCAACTATGCAAGCCAAAAACCAATGGAAATAAATGTGAAAAAATATGCGACAGTGGCAAGGAACCAAAACTCCATCAGGTGACAGAGTGGCAGCATTATAGGTTATGTTTAGGGAAAAGACACAGTCTCTATATGATGATATCTTGGTGAAAGAGTCTCTATGTGATCAGATTTATCTTACCTCTGTAACATGAGACATCCAGCAGACGGTCGGTTTAGCCAGTCCGTCTGCTTCCTTACCTGGTCCACAGAATACGAAAGTTAAGTATCAAGTATTACTAGGGAGAAGAGCGGCAGTATCCCAGGAGGGATGAATACCCTCTCTTTTCTTTTTTTTTCTTTTTTACAGTCAGACAAACCAACATAGTGCAGTTGTGAGCAAACTTGTAAATCCATGATTCCAGCAGTGGCAAGAGTGATTTAAGTGTTTGATCTAAGTGTGTATGTGAGCGGGTGTGGGTATGTGTATGTGTGTGTAAACAAAGTAACCATTTATTATTTATTACCATTGTCATTACCATCACCATCCCACTACCACCATACTGCCCATATTGTGTTTGTAGATTTTTATTTCCAACGTTCCTCCTATGTAACAATTGCCATTGTCAATCCTGTATAAAATAAAATATGATATAATAAGATAATATAATATAACCTCCCCCCACATCTCATCAGTCCCTATCTTTTCCTTATTTTTCTGTTTGTGTGTGTGCAATGTCTAAAGTGCATTAAAAGAGGGAGTACAGTGCGAGAGTGTCTCAAATTGGACCAGAGATGCTGTCCTGTTGAAACCACTTCTCGTCTGTCTTGCCTGCCTTGGTGTTTGGCGTGTTTTTTTTTGTTTGTTTTTTTTCTTCCTTCCCCTAGTCTATGTTGTGGTGCATTAAAAACCCATGAAGAGATAAGGGGGAAGTTATTGCAATAGTGATGACAATGACACTTAATTCTAGTTCTACTTTCTAATTCTACAGCATTGACAATGGCAATATTGATGATAATAATAATAGTAATAATAATAATAATAAATGACGATGATGATGGCAGTGGTGATCACAACGGTGAGAGCAAAAGACAGCAATTACAACAATGAAACAGTAACAAAAAGAATACAAGTGAAAATAGTAATCATAACAGTAACAGTAAAGATAGTAATAACAATGATGACAGAAACAAGTTCAAGCAATTAAAATGCACAAATATTCGTGGGTTGGTTTAGAAGGTGGGAGGAGTCGGAGTTAAGAACAGAGAGAGGATTCCTAGCTGTAAGAGGTCAGAAAGTGTTGGACGGCAGAGGTCAGTTTCAGATGTGTAATTATGAAGGGGAGATGCGAGTTCCATTGCAATGAAGTCTGTAATGCCCTCTCTTTTCAATAGGTCAGGTCTGCCTCAAAATCTTTTCCAATTGTCTATGAACCCTATATTATTCTGCGGACACCACTTAGACAGCCAGCCAAGTGAGGACAGTCTGCTAAGTATCTCATCACTCTGGCTGGATGTTAATCAGGATGTTAGAAACAATGTTCATCAAACTCATCATAAGTCGATGTGCCTCCAGATCCACCAGGCTACTTTTATGTGTATGTTTGGCCAATGTACCTGAAAAACAGAAAAGCTATGGAAGAAACTGTATTATATAGGTACTGTAATATTTTAATGCTCAATAAGCACAGTTAATTATTGCGGTCAATTGTTTAAGTGTGGCTGAAAGTCTTTGCACTTTGCACAGTGTTTCTGGATGGTTTTTGCAGACATTCAGGAAATGCTTATGGTGACACAAAGATGATTTATCACACGAGTAATTCAGTGCTAATATCACTGCATACTTGTTATTAGTGCAATGATTTAAGTCCTAGATTGTTAGGACCAACATTTCAAGCTGACTGTTTTAGCAATAGCTAGTATACTTGAACAGTGTTCATCAAAACATTCATCAATGGCTTATTTCACTTCCTCATTGAAGTTCCTCATTTTGGCGCAAACTAGTTACATTTTACATTTAGTCATTTAGCAGACGCTTTTATCCAAAAAGACTTCCAACTGAGGACCAAGCGAGTCATCGTGAAGGGGCAAAAATGATGCAAGAAGTTCTCAAAATACAAGTGAGGATAAAGGAAAAGAAAGACATTCCGGATGTGCTTTCCAAATGAGGGTGGGCAGATCGTTCCACCAGTATGGTACCAAATGAGAATGTTTTGGAGAGTGATTTTGTGGTTCTCTGTGACGGTACCAAGAGCCGTCGCTCATTGACCGATCGTAGGCTTCTGGTAGGGATGTAGGCTTGTTGTAGGGATTGGAAGTAGGAGGGAGCTGATCCTGTGGTCAATGTCTTGAGCTTGATGCGAGCAACTATGTGACTCAAACGAAAAACTAAAGAAAATGCATAAATATTCAATATATTAAATGGCATGCACCCAAAATATTGGTTGCACCTTTTCTATGCTTCCTGATAGACGAGGATCATAAAATATAACAACACAGAATACTTATTGTGCAGTGCAATATAGCTTGTTTATGTCTACATCAAAACTGACGACATGCTCCGTAATAATAATAACTAGATAAAAATGCCTTGCCAGAAATTTGAAGTTTGAAGGTTTTTAGATTTAATTAATTTATTTTTTTTAGTTTTAGTTTTTAAAGTTTGAATGTTTTCAGTTTGAAATAGTTTAAGGTTTAGTTAAGTAGGCAATGCAAGTTTATTTAGCACATTTCGCAAACAATGGTAATTCAAAGTGTTTTACATAGAATTAATTAAAATAATCAAAATAAATAAGAATAATTAAAACAGTTTAGAATAAAAAATGTAACAATCAGAGCAGTGTTAAAGCAGTAAAAGCGGCCGAGTACTCTTTCATTAAATGCATACCCAAACAGATGTGTTTTGAGTCTGGATTTGAATATAACTTGTAGCACACCTGATCTCCTCTGGAAGCTGCATAATACCTAAAAGCAGACTCTCCATGCTTACAGTGAACCCTTGGTATTTCTGAGATGGTCCTCACTGCAGAACATGAAATCCACGGGGAGGAGTCGGATCCAGATCCAACTCCTCCCACCTTACATATACCTAAACCTACCCAACTCCACCCCTCATATCTGGATCTGACTCTGCCCCCTGGATCTTGTGTCCTGCAATGAGGTGCTACTGGTATTTCTAGCTGATGTGATCCTAATGATCTGAGTGATATGTTTTGTTTATATTCAGTGAGCGTATATGCAATATATTGAGGTCCAAACCCATTGAATTATTTATGTAACGGTAATAACGCAATGACTTCAGTTTTGTTTTTGTTTAACTGAAGAAAGTTTTGGCACATCCAACTGTTTACTTCATCAATGCATTGGCTCAGGAAGTCAATGGGGCAGTAGTCGTTAGGTGATGGGGCTAAGTAGAGCTGTATGTCGTCTGCATAGCTGTGGTAAGAATTTTTGTTCTTTGTCATTATTTGGCTCAAACATATTCATGTTAACACAGTCTCATCCCAAGATGTCATATAACTGACGCTTTTGACCATACGTCAACATCCACCTTTTTAGGGTACCCTAAACGTCAGTTTGATGACGATCCTGGGGCGTCATCCAATTGACGCTTTACCTTTAACATCAGTTAGGTGACGGGATAGGTTTAGGGGTTGGGTTAGGATTAGATAACGTCATCTAACCGACGTTTAAGGGTACCCTAAAACAGCAGATGTTGACGTATGGTCAAAAGCGTCAGTTGTATGACGTCTTGGGATGAGACTGTGCTGTACAGGTTAAATAGGAGTGGTGCAAGAATTGAGCCTTGAGGGACTCCGCAAGTCATGGATGCCCACTCAGACTTAAGTTCTCCTATACTCACATAATAACCTCCCTTCTAAGTATGACCTGAACCATTTTAGGACTATCGCAGAAAGCCCCACCCAGTTTTTCAGCCTGTCAAGAAGTATGCTGTGATCAACAGTGTCAAATGCAGCACTGAGGTCGAGTAGTACCAGTACTGATAATTTGCCTGTCGGCAATCGGAATCAGGCAATTGGAAACCGGATTGATAATTGTCAAAGTATCCATTCAAGCTTAAGAATTTGTTCAGCTGATTGAAGACAACTTTCTCAATGATCTTGCCTATGAAAGGAAGATTTGAGATTGGTCTACAGTTGCTTGAGATGGTGTTATCCAGATTGCTATTTTTCAGGAGGGGCTTGACAACTGCAGTTTTCAGGGAGTTTGGAAAGTGAGGCATTTACCACTTCCAGGAGATCTGCTTCTAAGCTGTTTAACACACTTTTGAAAAAAGACGTGGGAAGTGCGTCGAAGGCGCAGATTGATGTTTTAAGGTGCTGTACGGTTTCTTCCAAAATTGTGCCTTCAATTTCTTCGAAAACAGACATAGTAACTACTTTCTCAGGTTGTGGTCTGATCTGTCTAGCCCCAGAGCAACTCAAGAATGCACTGATCACCTTTCTGATATTATTGATTTTCTCAGAGAAGAAAGAAGCAAACTCACCGCACTTGCCGTCTGAGAGCATTTCACTTACATTCACATTTATTCATTTAGCTGACGCTTTTATTCAAAGCGACTTACAATTGCTATATATGTCAGAGTTCGCAGACCTCTGGAGCAACTAGGGATTAAGTGTCTTGCTCAGGGACACATTGGTGTCTCACAGTGGATTCAAACCCAGCTCTCTCACACTGAAGGCATGTGTCTTGTCCACTGCACCGTCACCACCCACTTGAAATCAGTCTCTCACACAATGGCCTCTTTACTTTGGCACTTTTATTATAAATTCAAGCTCATCACCTCAATTGATAAGTGAATAAATCGAATGACTGTGTTTACTTATTTATAAGAGTAACTCTTGGAAATGTTTTAGTTTTGGTATGACGTCAGTCAGTCGTTTGAGATCTGATGACTAAGATGTTGTGGTGTCACTGGTTGTGGGCTGGAGCTCAGATATATATATATACTTGCAATGCATACTGACATTCAGTTTTAGTTCCTGTGTTTAGATATAGGACACTGATTAAGATACACTTATGGCAATAACAATGTTGTCTCTGCAAATCACCTTCTTGTTGGTGGTGGTTCTTTGTCTCCTTGTTGCAAGTGCAGGTTAGTGCTTTGTGTTTTCACTATTATACATTTTAGTAATTTGTGTGTTACAAAGTGTTATTAGTTCACCTACTCTCTTTAGACAGCGATACATTTTATTTTTTCTCTTCCTATTTATGTGTGCATCCAAAATGCCTTTGATGGTTTAAAACCTTTATAATTGTAAATGTGGTCATGTCATTCCAAAATTGTATGACTTTCTTTTTTTCTGAGGAACAACAAATAAGATATTTTGAAGAATATTGTGCATATTGGAGAATATAAGGCAAAGACTACCAAAACTGTTTGTTTTGTAACATTCTTCTAAATATCTTTATATGTTCCACACAAGAAAGTTCTTAAGATGACACAAGGAACAACATAAATTTCCATTTTTTTTAAACATTACATGTAGGCACTGAACTTTTAATGATGAGGAATAAGCAATATTACTCATAATGATAAGAAAATAGGTGACATACCCCAGAAGGTACAGTACATTCATCTAGGTGTTGGTAATGTTGTCTCGTTTAGTGCCAAGAACACCTGATTTTTTTTTTTTTTTATGTTCTCTTGATTTCTGTTTTGATGGATGCTGTCATCTTATCCATCTTATGTTTCTTTGAATCATTTGTAGATGTGAGCAAATATAAAGGTGACAATTACACGATGAAGTGTCCACCTCATGCAGACGCACTGGGTGTGTCTCTGTTCACCCGACGTTCGATCATGCGCAAAGTCTTCTACTACAATTTCAGTGAAGACTTATTAACTCCCCACAAAGACTACGAGGGACGTGTAAAAGTCAAAAATGACAAGAAAACTATAACTATAGACATCTTTAATCTAGAACTGGAAGACACTGGGTCTTACTGGTGCACCTACACGTGTCCTTTTGACGATTGTGAAATGGATGATTCAGGTGTTTTTCTTTTGGTTCAAGGTGAGCACACATTTCTGTTTTTTTCATTGAGATTTAATTTTCAGCATGCAATTACAGGCAATTTAGAATTCACAATACATATAGTGGTAAGTATCATTTAAGACATACATTGCCGTTCAAAAGTTTGGGGTCAGTAATTTAACTAGTAAATTATTCAATAAGTGTGCTTTATGTTGATCAATAGTGACAAAAAGATGTTTTATTTTTAACTTTGTATTCATAAAAAAATAATAATAAGTACAAAAACTCAGTTTGAGTTTCAGTGTAAAAGGTTTTAATGCAAAAACATGGTTTGTTATAGTTTTGAAGCAAGTGATGGATGAATCTTTCCGTTAAGTTAAGATCTTCTAGTGTGTGCATTTGGAGGATTACAATGCTAAAAATTGGTTGAAACTGCCCTTATGTCTGTGGACTCCCACAGTTTTAAAATCGGTTAAGATTTTAAAATCGTCTCACATCACATTAACTCATTTTTGTGACCATAATAAAGTTATTTATAATTTCTTTATAGACCCACAAGAGACCATCCCGTCCTCTTCCAAAAGTGCAAAGTCCAATGGCATGAATGATTTACTGATACCAGTGGCGGCTTTGACAGCTGGCAGTGTGCTCTTGCTGTTATTCCTTGTGCTTGGAGTGTGGATGGTGCCTAAGGTAAAATTCATTTCATTTGGTTATCTCCAGCCATATGTTTACGTACTTATCGTCTAAGACCAATACCTTAATTTTGAGAGGCATTTTTCAGAAAATGTGTAATAATAAGCAAGTTTGATTGTTCCTCTCTGTTGTTCCAGATAAAGAAACTGATGAGAGATCAGAGAGGAGAAGAGAAAAGGTCTGGCAATGAAGTGTACGAGGTCATGACCATTCCCCGAAGGAGAGACTTTACATGATACATCCACATAAATAACAACCAGATAATATGCAGTTGGTTAGTAAATTCGACATTCAGTACATAATATATTCAGTGTTATACCTATTGCACTGTAAATCATTCAGTCCAACTAAACTTTAAGTTCAGACTGATTTGAGGTTGGCTTTCTGACGTATTGCTGTTGAAATTATAACATTTAAAGATTCAGAGAAATTAATTCCGTCCTTATTTTTTAATTCTCAATCTTCTATCCTCTGTAAAGAAGAGTTATGTTTGTTTCCACAGTTTTACGCGATAGTTCGAATACTTTTGCATTAAATGAGCGATTCAGTTTGGACAGTTCCCATTTTGATACTTTAGTTGTTGGGTTATAAACATATATTTGTAACGTGTGACTTGTGTGTAGGCTAGTGCAGTGTAAAATCTAACATTGTTCTTACTAAGAATTTTTTGTTAACTTTACTTAAAGTGCAATAATTTGTTGAACTTACTTAAAATTTCTTAGTAATCTGTACTGTTTGCATGTGTGCTTTCGTTACTCAGAAAAACCTTGTAAAAATTACTTGACTGGTTTGAGTACCATTTTCAATTTGCTTTCGCTCATTTTCCAGTCATCTTGAGTGTTATTGTCAATACACCTAAATATATTTTTGGTAGAACATCAAAATTCTTTAGTTGACTTGTTGATTTCCATTTCTCACCATTATTGTGATTGATGTTCCCTTTGGTTGGGCACTTGGAACTTAATTTATATTATTGTTCTCTTCCAATTGTTTGCAGTGATGCAACTTGAAATCATAATTATTTGATTTCAAAGGAAATGATGTAATTTATATATATATATGCAAACACACAAATTAATTAATAAATTATATATAACATAAATGAAGAGTTCAGATGCAAAAGCCTCTAAATGCCATTTGAAATTTTCTTCTTTAATGATGATTTTTATCAAACTTGTATATTTAAGTTCAGTAATTTCACTTAAATAACAATTAATAGGCAATTATCATTGCCATTTAAGTGAAATCACTGAACTTAAATATACAAGCTTGATAAAAATTATCATTCTAGAAGAAAATTTCAAATGGCACTTAGAGGCTTTTGCATCTGAACTCTTCAAATATATTTCATGTATAATAATGATCTTTTAACATTTTATTGCTAACGCTTATGGCATAAATCTTTAATTGGGTTGATATAATCCCTCTATATTTGTGACAATATCTTGCAATTTTGGTTGAGTCACACACAGACTTCAACATTCAGCATGCAAACCACAACAGTGGTAATATTTGAAAAAAATCATTTAATTAATTAGACATTACAATTTTATTTGCTGTCTCTTTTCAGTATAACCCCAATAACGATAGCAAAAAAAATTGTAATAAAGCCAAAAATAGTAAAATAAAGCAATTAATTTATTCATGCCGCAATGCACTCTGGGAGTACACTTCCTCGGTTCACAGATACTGGAAAGTAAAAGATCAAGTATAGTATAGAAATTATTTTAAGTTACTGGAACTCTCTTGTAACTGTACACTACTAGGCATGCACTTGTTAGTACTACATATTATTCCTATTTCACTTTACTCAGTTTTTTGAGTGCAATCAGTTTGCATGCTTTTTTCAAGTAAGGTGTACTAATTGGATTTTACAGTGTGTGTGGATGTTGTTCTTAAACATCTGATGTAAATATTTTTGATATCCTCAATGTCTAGCTTCAGTAACACACACTGTGTTCAGGAATAATGGCGAATGTATATGTCATTCTGACAAACAATGAAAAACAGGTTTCGAAAGTCTGCCAGTGTCTGTATTTGACTTGTGATCTTGGTCTGCACACTTCCTCATATGGTGGAACACATTCGCATCGAGACCCCTTTAGAGGAAACCTGCCGCTGCTTCAAAGAATGTCACCTTTACTCCATCTTGTACATCTCTGTCAAAGGGCTTTATTCAGATCTGAGTGGTGAGAACTTAAAGTGAAAAAATACATTTGGGGAAAAACTGTTATGATGGTCTTACCAGAAACAAGAGGATGTGTAAGAAAATGTGTGGGTTGTGTTTGTCAGATCAATTGCACAGTCACAGTAGTCCTGTTTTTGAGTTTAACTTTGTACCTGCAAATGTCATGTATTCCTTTAGCATAAGTATTTTCTGGAAAAAAAGTCTATCATTTGCTGTAATGTGTACGTAAGTGACTGGAAACATCACTGAAAAGTTTTGTTTTTGACAGCATAGGAAACAAGATCTAGTGTGATTACAGCCTTTCGCATTGTTTACTAAAACCCATACCGAAATCCTAAACCCTAACGTTCTGTTTGCAACCATTTTACAAAACTTTACAGGTAAATTCTCAATTGTACAGCAGTTGCATGTTCCTAGTTCTATGTCTCACAGCCTCTTAAGGGCTATTAACAAGTAGCTTTGAAACAATGTGTTTTGGATAGCAATTGTTTTGTATGTTCTAAAATTATCAATAGCTCAGGTATCAAACTAAATTAACTAAATTAAAAATTAATAGTAGCCTATCAAACTAAAATTTCAATACTTTTTTTACACTGAAAAACATCCAGACTCAACTGTCCTGAAAGTATCTACTGTAAACCAAAGGTTTGAACTGTGTTTCAGGCAAGGAATTCTTCTAAATTTCATGGGGAAATTTGAAGTTGTCGATTTAGAAATAGCCTATTTTCTGGCCCCACATTATGATATGTTTGTAAGATAGGCCTACCTTTTAAATTTTTTTGCTGTTTCATGAATATTTTTATCATAATTGTTTACTGTTTTGTTGTTACCGCTTGTTAACCGTGTTGAAAGTATATATGTGAAGAGTTCAGATGCAAAAGCCTCTAAGTGCCATTTGAAATTTTCTTCTAAAATGATCATTTTTATCAAGCTTGTATATTTAAGTTCAGTAATTTCACTTAAATGGCAATGAAGATTATCTATTAATTGTCATTTAAGTGAAATTACTTAACTTAAATATACAAGCTTGATAAAAATGGTCATTTTAGAAGAAAATTTCAAATGGCATTTAGAGGCTTTTGCATCTGAACTCTTCATGTGGAAATAGCTGGGGTGAGAAAAAACTACGTGCACTTTTTTTTTGAGAAATGCAGATTAGCTACACTAAACCATAACATGTGTAGCCTGCATTTTCCTTTTATAGACATACTCATTTTATCCTAAAACCCTGTTTTTAAATAAGACATCTTGTTATTAAAAAAAAACAAAAAAAAAACAACATCATGTTATTTGTCAAGAAGCCTAACACACAATTCCAGCGTCAACCCATCAGGTGTCCTATCTCTCTCCCTAAGGCGGAGTTATCCACAGGTGTGTGTGCGCGCGTGTGTGTGGACAGGTAAAGCTGGAGGTGCAGAAGTTTAGTTCTAACCGATTTAGTTGGTTTAGTGTAAGGACGTATTAAATAGCCTACACACATTTTGATCGTGATTCATGTGCTTTTCGGATTGCCAGAGAAAAATTACCCAACGATCGAACATATTTCAGATGCTGCAATCTCAAATAAGGACCTGACTAAAGTTGAAATTCTCAGGACAAAAGGGACCCGATGAACATGAAGAAAGCATATTCTGGTAAGTAGGCCTACGGGACCACCAGTTTCGTGTCAACTGACAACCGCTGTGATCATGAGCTGTTAATCTAGAGACCACTAAATGTAGGCTAAAAGTGAAACCAAACCTGAAAAGTTCATTTGTGCTGTGATATCCTCTTTTTTTCTATTTTAAACAATCGATTTACTTACACAACATATATGCAAATTATTAGAATTCATCGTAACATCTTAAAACGTATGTCATGATATTATAAACAAATTTAAAATGGCATAGTAGAATAATACGTATAGGCTAAAGGCAATTAACTGATTGACTGAAAAAAAATATTAAATTGAAAGTTAGTTGTTATCTCACGTGTTGTGCATCTTTCGTCAGGGTTGGTTAGATTTTTATTATGCTACTGAATTTATACCTTTTTAGATAGCCTAAAAAGATGTCCTACAGGCTACTTTATGACAAAAGTTGGGGTCTTGCACAATTATTTATTAGATGGTTCTCTTTCCTTGAGAATGTCGTAGCTACGTTTTGCATTGTGTGAAATTGAAATAGACAAAGTTTGCCAAAGCTACCGCAGTTAGCTAAATGTATATTATAATTATTAAATGTTTGTGATACATTTGTGACATGCAAATTTATAATAAACTTATGGGCCTAAATAATTATTTGTCAGTGTTTAGGCCTATGTAGGTACCGCCCACACTGATTGCAATTAAACTGTTGGTATGGTTACCACCTCGAAAGACCATGACTTCTGTTTGGCAAGTGAAAATATAGCCTATTTTTCTTAAACATAAATGATGTATTTATAATGCGAGTTATAATTTAAAATAACACTTTAGCTCCATTTCCACTGTCAGGTCAATGCGAGCCAGGACTTTCAATGGGCCGGGCTGGGCTAAAAGGCGAACCATCGCAAAACGAACACGATAAAAGTGGCCGTTTGTTGGCATTTTTGGTGTTTACTTAAATAAGTGATACACTGATCATATTGAATTAATTTGTGCCAAGATTGCACATTAGTCACACAGAAATAAACTGGTATTTGCCGTTATTTTACAAAAGAGAGAAGAGACACGTGCTTACACGTAGGCCTACATTCTTATTGTAAACACAATTAGAAAGAATGATAATTTCTACGAATTTTAAACCAAAAATATGACATGAGGAGCTTTAGCACTCTCTCCAGTGACAGTCCCATTACAGTTAGATTTTCAGTCAAAGAAACAGAGGAAGCTCCCGAAAAACTGGAGTTACTTTATTTTATGACATAGGCTATGCAGAGCTATGGATATCAGAAAGTCCGGTATAAAGAGATGAGTCGTAATGACAGACAAAAAAAACTAATACACAAATGTGATCGACTATATGATTTGTCTGATTTAATAATTAGTGTGCATATTGTTTGCATTTCATATAAAGATTTCTGCTTTATAGGATGATCATAATCCACATCAGATCACAAACAGAAGTTATCACAAACACTGGCTGTTGGCTAAAAGTGAGTTTTGAGCTGAAATGATTTTAAAAGTCTTTATATTAAATAAACCATGGCACTGTCGTCTCCTGATAAACTCTGCCTTTGTTCGCAACTACTCCTCAAGCCCCAGTTGGCTCGCTTTGGCCCAAGGTATTCGACAGACCAAAAAACCCTGGCTGTTGGCTCCAAGAGAGCCCTGACAAGGCCCGATCAAACCCTGGCCACACATTTGAAGATTTTAAGCCCAAATTTGTGGCCCGTTAGCCCTCAATTGTCTTTTACTGTTCCCGGAGAACAATCCCAAATCGTAAATATCAAACGTTCGATTTTTAGGACTCTTGAGCCAATGAGCTTCAATGACCGGATGTTGCCTGCTTCTATAGATAAAAAATTGGCAGCCAAAAAAATTCCCACAAAAGTGGTGTATTGACAAAGAAGATCACCCATATTCATTTTTTCTCCTTTGTTTTTCATCC